CCTAAAGTTAATGAAACGGCCGGTAGAACATTACGACTTTGTTATGTGTCTCATGGCACACATTACATGCATGACGTGTTTTTTGTGTTATGTCAACCATACGCTCCTAGTATGCCGCTTCAGTTCTGGTACACATCCAGTTAATGATACGGCCGTAATATCTCCGTGAATGGATCACGTATTCCATTAGCTCTATGACATACATGAGTTGTGTAATGACCAGTCATCTCTATTTTTTATGTTCTTAACATACCATGTCATTTAAGTATACAGGAAGGTCACCGAACGGTCATTGCTGCTCCTTCACCATGTCACGTATATCATGGCGTACATTAATCGCGTGTCATGATTTTCATATAATGAGCAGTTTCAGATGCTCTTGTCATCCCATGCCTCTTTTGGTACCTATCAACTAAATCAATCAGCCGCGAGAGCACGAGGACCTACGCAGCCAGTGAGCCAGGCAGACCAATCGATACGCTCTAAATGACTTTATTCGACCACGAGATACGTATTTCATAAAAACTAGTGCCTAATTTATTTGTTACCAACATCATATGAGCATGCTCTACCACTAGAAAGGATGAACTGAGCCAAATCACCGCGCGTTTGGCTGAAATCAATATGTTTTAGCATACCATGCAATGCCAGTGAACGCGAACATTTGAACCATTATGGCGTCCACAAGAGCAGCGTATCTTCTCTGTTCTGGAGTAGCACACCCAGGCACCCTAATCATGAGGGATGCAAGATGCCCCCCATGGATAATAAGTCAAGTGCACAACCATTCATTGCATCAACGCCAAAGCCGGTTTCCTCGAAAAGAGCCGAGTATCAGTTATGAAGAGAGACTATCTGTGCTTCCCCGTTCAACACTAGCTTATTGATCGGCTTCTTGCGTATCAGTTTTTATTGTTCCTTCTTCATATCTCTGTTAATTCGAGACCTTATCATTCTATCGTCACAGCATTGTACCTTGCCGAGCACTTCCACATCTTGTACGATGCCCGGCTGGGCACGCCTTATAAAGTCCGTTACGTTGTTACTTTTGCCATTAGGGCTGCTTCATGTCCACTCATGTTAGAAAATCAAGACTGTGTTCACTCGCTTTCTGTATAAGATATTTGAAATCCATAAATTACTTAATTCTGTGAATTCTGCTATTAACTGACCTCTGCGAGTTGTAGTGCCGATGGCATATTCTCCTACTACCTTGTCTCCAGCCCTCTTCTTTCCTACCATAGCATTGAAGTCAACCACCAGTGTAGATACGATGTTCTTACCTTACTTATTGCCCAACCCACGCCTTCAGAGACGCTTTAAACTAATACGTCACCATGGCTGAACGCAGGCGAGTAGGCCAGTACCACTTTCATATTGTATCTTTTATTGAGTTTCATGACGGTACCTACCACCCCTTCAATAATGCCATATTATTCATTTATGTTACCAGCAATATTACTGAAGGAACCCCGACCCATTCTCTTCGTTCAGTCAAGCCACAACAGCATAAGACGTACCCATCTGTAGCATTGTATTGTCCTAATCTGTCCTGCTGACCTCACTGAGCCCTATTACATCCCATTTAACACCCTCTAGTTTCTCCAATAGCACAGCTAAACTCGCCTCACTTGATAGGGCTCTAGCATTAAACGCTGCCAAGTCCAGGTTCTAATGGTGGCCTGTTCCGACCCAGAGACTGTTAGCACCCTCTGCTGCGTCGCAGATCTGACCACTGCCGTGGTGAGTTGCTTCGCAGCCGCTCAGAATTGGGGGCCAAAAATTAACTGGCGTATCTATGTGAGAGGTAGAGTTGACGCAATGAATGATAATCTGACAAGTATAAATACGGAGTGTCTAGTAAACATCGGGGGTGTGGAAGGTATACAAGACACTAGGAAGCTGTCCCAGGACACGAAGACCCTCATTAAGATATGTAAAAGCATGATAGCCTCAAACAAAACAGACAAAATAGAACTGGCAGAGTTTACGAATTCGAATAATAAACATGAGGTATACGAAGAAATAAAATATACCAGCGGAGAGAATTCAACATGCTCGAAAAAATGTAAGACACGTCAATGTGAAAACCCGGGATAAGCAGAAAACAGATTTATGCACTAAGGAACAAGGAAAGCAAAGTAACAACCAATGTTGGATAAGATAGTTGAAGTAGTCGAGCAGTTTTACATAGATCTCTACAGTGGCCGGGAAAACAATGATTGTAACATAAGAACTAGCAGTAACCCAGATGACATCCCACCAGTAATGACAGAAGTGAGAAAAGCCTCAGAGGGAATGCAAATAAGAAAAGCTGCCAGTGAGGATCAGGTAATATCAGATCTGCTGAAAGACAGAGAAGATAATGTGTTAGTATAATTGCTAGTATAATTGCTAGTATAATTAGATTGCTAGTATTGCTAATATAATTGCTAGTATAATTAGAACAACATTAGAAATAAATAACTAAAGAATGAAACTGCAATTCAAACAGGCTACTCAACAATCTACCACGTTGATACGGTACATCAAGTGATAGAGGAATGTTGAGAATACACCCAACCACTATATCTAGCCTTTAAAGATTAGGAGAAGGCATTTGATTCACTAAACATATCAGCAGTCATGCAGACACTGAAGAATCAGGGCGTCTACGAAGCACATATAAACATCCTGGAATAAATCTAAAGAAGATCAACTGCCACAATATTCCTCCCTAATGAGAGCAACAGAATAACGATAAAGAAGGGTGTAGGACAAGGGGATGCAATCTCCTAAATGCTACTTACCGTGTCCTTACAGAAAGTTTTGAGAGGCCTAAAATTGTAAAAGTAAGGGATAAGAACTATAGGAGAGTACCTTAGTAAGCAGCGCTTGGCCGATGACTTTGCGTTTATGAGTAACTCAGGGGACGTATTGCAATTCATAAATACTGAATCAGACAAGGAGAGCACAAATGTAGATCCTAAAATTAATCTGCAGAAAACGAAAATGAGCGCTTCGAGGTAGGTAGCAGTGCAGCTAAAACTGTAAAATAATAGGTCTACTTTGGACAGGTAGTAACTGTGAAGCCAAGTTACGGGATTGAAGTAACTAGAAGAATAGTATTGGGGTAGAACACATTTGCCAGGCATTCTCAATTCATGACTGGTAGACTGCCATTATCCTTCAAGAGGAAGGTATATAACAGCTGCATTTTGCCGGTACTTACCAATGGAGAGGAAACCTGGAGGCTTGTAAAGAGGGTTCAGCTCAACTTGAGGAGACTAAGAATGACACTGCGAGCGATAGAAAGGAAAATGATCAGTATAAATCAAAACAACAATAAGATAACAGAGCGGGTGACATTGAAACTGGGGTTAAGGATATCATAGTCGAAATCAAGAAGAAATGGACAAGGGCCGGGCTTATAGTACGTAGGCAGGATAACGGCTGGTCATTAAGGTTAACTGACTGTAAATTCAGAGAAGGCAAGTTGTTGAGGGCGAGACAGGAAGTTAGGTGGGCCGATGAGGTTAGGAAGTTTGCGGGTATAAAGGGGCAGCAGCGAGCACAGGACCGAGTTGACGGATGGAACATAAGAGAGAGCTTTACCCTGCAGCCGACGCAGTCAGGCTGATGGTGATGATGTTTAATATGGTGTAGATCAAAATTACGTCATCTTACCTAATTCCGTCGTGAGGCAACGCCGAAACGGTACTCGACCCTATGAGCGCAAAGCAGGCGCGAAGGGTATACTTGACAGGTGAGAGTAGGGGAGAACTAGAAGAAAGGTTGGTGAATGGTTGGATCAAGCGCATTTGTTGGGCTTTGAAAAAACAGAGGAAGTAGCTGCTTAACCAGAAGGCCGTCACCAGGAATCATGTTCCCACCGTCTAAAAATTCTCGAAAGAATCTGGTGTTGGAAGACCCATTTGACGGCATTATGTTTTGTCTATCGCTCCTTCTGCCGTATAGTCTATCGCTCCTTCTACCGTATAGTGGAATGTAGCAATTGTATGTGTATATCGATGTTCCATTCGTTCATACATACAATCATTGATTCATACATTCATTCATTCATTCATTCGCGAAGAGCAGCGGCAATGGTTCCATGTCTGAGAAAAAGAGACGTTAAGAAGTACGTGCAAAAAGTGGGCTCCAAAAGACCACGATTTCTTTGTTTGGGTTTAATTTATTATATATTTTTAATATTTGCAATAATTACATTGTTTTAATATGTTTTAGTGTGTATCTAAATGACCTTGCCTAAATTTTATATCGATTGCTGAAACCTCCCAATCCTTGGCCGATCCCTCATAGTGGGTGTCAGCCTCAGTTATTAGGTCAACGAAAACAAGAAAGAGGCCGACGCCATGGCCTGGCTTTCAAGAGCCTTAAAACATTCATAGGTTTTTACTCACATGCCGAAGTTTCACCAGCAATAGAAAAAAGCATTTGAAAATTTTCTTAAGAAAATTAAGCATTACTATTATTTCTGAAAACATTCTTCCTTAGGGCCTTTTTTCTGAGCCACCGCAACAGTAACGGCTGCATAGCAGTCTATGAATTTCTTAGAGACACGAGAAGATTTTCTGTTAGGTTATTCCTCATGTATGTCGAGTTTTTTCTTTCAAATTCACTTATTACTTTCTAATAGAGTTCTGTATCTACTTTAATCGTACGTGACTTTAGGATTGTTGAGTTTCATATTCCCTAGATCTGTTGAATTTATTTTTTGAACATATTCGAAAGCCTTTTGTGATCATTATAAAAACCGCCGGTTTGATGGCCGATCCCCCGTAGTGGGTACGAGACAAATAGGCACAAGCAAGCAATCGAGCAAGGCCTAACTTTCCAGTGAAATGAACACGAAACGCGGCGTCTTTAAAACAGCAGAGCGGGTGGAAGACCACCACAATGACGACCTGTGGCTGCCACTGCAAAGAGCTTTGCACGACATACTCCGTAAGCAAAGAACCAGGAGTAGCTTTAATGAACTGTACGCCAACGCACGTGCCATGGTGACTCAAGACCAAGGGGAGCGTCTCTACCAAGGAGTCTGCAACGAGGTGACACACCACCTCAGAAACAAAGTACGCCCTTTCATCTTAGAGAAAGTTGACGACGACTTTTTGCTGACGCTTGTGAAAGCATGGGACGACCACAAGAAGATCATGAAACTGATTGAGGACGTCCTAATGTACATGGACCCAATTTTCGTTGTAAAAAGGCAATGTGACAGCGTTAAAAAACTGGGTTTGTTGCTGTTTCTTGACGAGGTGGTCCGCTACGCCGATGTGCGGGAGCGCCTTCGAGAATGCATGATTGGCATGATCAAAAGAGAGCGAGAAGGCAAATCAGTCGACAGGCATTCTTTCGGAAAAACGTGCGAAATGTTACTTGTGCTTGGACTTGAATCAAGGTCAGTTTATGAGGAAGATTTTGAAAAGGTGTTTCTTTTGGAGTCGGCGAAGTTCTATGCTTTACGGGGCCAGGAGTACATGAAAACGAAGACTGTTTTCGGGTACCTCACTAAAGTTGAACAGCACATCGCGGAAGAGGCAGAGCGGGCGAAACACTACCTAGACGAGTCCACCGTGGTTTCGGTCATAGAGGTCGTAAGGAATGAGCTCTTCGGGAATCTTTTGAAGGCCATCGAGGACATGAACGACATGGATGTCGACGATATGGTCAAGAGCCGGATGGACACGGAAGACCTCACGCGAGTATTCTGGTTGCTTAAGTACGTTCCAGGTGGCGTGAAAACGTTGCTCATCAGTGTGACCAAGCATGTGCGCTGTTTGGCGACACCTGCGTTGAAGAATGACGAAGACTCAGTGAGCATGATACCCAAAGTGACAGACCTAAAAAAACTTTTTGACCACTTTCCTTTACAGTTTTTCAAGAACGAGCACCTAGCCAAGCAGACCAAGGCCACAGACGTGGCGTACATACTCAGCTGGCCTAGCTTAGCTTCCAAGCTGCCCATGCATCTGTGGGTGTTCGTAGACGACATTATCCAACAAGGTGTTAAGAACATGACGAAGCAGGAGATCGACGAGCTGCTCGACAAGATTATCGAAAGATTTTGTTGCGTACAGGAAAAAGATCGTTTCAAGCAGAATCTGGAGAAACAGTTCTTGTTCAACAAAACCACCGCAGACGAACAGGAGATGAACATGGTTGCCACGGGCAAAAGTGGTCATTTGGCGCCCTCCAGGATAGAAGAAATGGTAAGGAACATGCGCATCTCTCATGACATGATGCACGAATTCAAAAAAACTTGCAAAATGAACTTGGACGGAGTACAAATATGTGCGCTCGTGCTTGTGACGTGCTTCTGGCATACCGTCATGCAACCTTTCCGTTGGCGCATCAGGTGGCTTTTGAACATTCCGGCCGCTCAATTAGGCAAAGATGGAAGGTTAACAACTCAGACTAGAGCAATAACTACGCGACGCCCACATGAGCATCATGTTCTACCGGCTCGTAAAGGGGACGTCTACGGCCATGTCTACTGGAGAGCTTCAGTTCCAAACGTTGACCTTTCAGATAACCACACGCTGGATGTGCGTGCTGACTGTGTTCAACAGACAGTACCTGGTATTGCTCTAAGATACAGCCTCACGGACGAATATTCCAAGAACAAGCCCGGTTCGTCCACTGAGTAGGCTGAGCCCTGGCGAAGCCTCTGAAAGTGATCATGCGAAAGTGCTCTCTTCAAGCTAAGTTTGGAACTACGACAATTTTAGCATTAGGACGCTTTACTGTCTAGACATCGGAAAGTAATTTGAGGAGAAGTGAAAGAGACACGGAGCGTAGGGTCAACTTTCACCTGGACCGAATGTATGAGTTGGAAGAGGCATTTGTAAGAATAAATCAGGCACACGAGAAATTGTCTCACGACATCCTTCTCTTTAGAGTGACAAACCTTTTTCAAGACCAATCATTTCCCAGTCTTTTTGAGTTTGACCTGAGTCAATGTGTTCATAAGAAATAGCACCTGGGGAGGATGGCCGAAGAGCTAGATGTGTAGATATACTTGTGAAAGTACAGCGGAGTTTGGTCAGGGAGCACAGCCGGTATGATGAAAAGGAAAGCTGTCCGTAAGGGCAGAGTTTGACAAAGGCCTTTCCACGGTCTTTCAGTAAATATATTCAATACCTCGAAATGAGTAAAAAAAAACTCCGTGCGAAATTTCCTTTGGGAGTTCTTTTCCTAAATAACAGTACCCAATGCAGGAAAAATAGTACGAAATATATCACGCACTGTATGAACCGATTTAATGCGAAGCATTTATCGAGTAGTGTCCTATGGTGTAATTTTTGCTTTTATTCAAGTCTTCTCAGGTGAGTTGATGTGTTTGTGCAGGTGGAGTAGTTTGCTCTTGAGTTTCCCAGGTACGTAGACTACACTGGCACTAAAATAGTAGCGCATGGTCCGACGTAACGTCAGCACTCGCGATATAACCTAGATATCAGATTTAACAAAACAAACGGCACGCTGAGGTGCAGTGATGTGCATATCATATATATTTTTCATCATCGCCTTCTTCAGATTTGTACTACGCTTAGGACTACATACGAGTATATATTACGTTACCCTCATTACTTCAATACAAACGCGGACAACAAGCACGGGAAACACAGCTGTTGCTCCCGCATAACTTGGAAGTTTTTTTTCCAAAGCAGTTTTAATACTTGGAGTGGCTCACTTGTGAAATATTTGACTGCAGTGCAGCATTCCTGGGATACATTCCGGGTCTAATCATGATTTGCATATTCTGCATCTGTCTCAGGTTTTTTTTTCTAAAAAATACACCGATGCACAATATTCAGCAACATGCTTGCCGGGGGCTTAAAAAACACTTACACCAGCTCAGTTGCCAAAAAACTTTTAAAATGCGTCGTTAGGTGAATACAAGTGCAATACCCGAAAATTGGGCAACCTCAAGCATAAAGACACGTTCACTCTTACCGCGACACCACACTTGGCTAAGGTTAGTTCACACTAGAGAGACAGAACACCAATTTTGGTCGGCCGACTGTCTTTGGGAGTGTCTTTTGTCTCGTCGTCGTCATATTTACACTTCAACGACACAAATTGTCCGCTGATGGTCTCTGTAAGACTCCGTTCACGCCTTGTTGTGCTCACAGTCTTTCGTTAGCCAATTCTGTAGTCACACTGGAGGCACACGCAGCGACACCGGCTAAATCTGCACACCGGCACCTCATTGTCAGTCGTGTTCCCTGCTCTGGCATTCCCCTCTCAGCTGGGCAGCGCACAAAAAAAAAGACTTTTGTGCGGTGCAGATGCCTATTCAAACGTCGTGGAAGACTTGGATGGGGCATCGTTCTCTCCCAAAGACTTCCTCTTTCGTGGTCGTTTGAAACAAAGACATGGGCAAATTTTCACTCAGTCGCAGATCTCCCGACGACACGGTGACGACAGGTCTGCCGATGCGTTTTGCTGGTGTTTTCGGTCTGTCATCATGTTACACTATGACGACTTACTGACTTGAGGATTTGTTGTCGTCGTCAGCGTTGTGTGACCAGGGGTTCTGGCGACTTCATCAGCGGGCGACTCGTCAGCTGATGGTCTGCGTCTGCCTCGTGTTTGTCGGAGTCGTGTCAGAGTTGTGTCACTCTAGTGTAAACGCGCCTTAAGCGACAAAACGCGTGAAAAGAAATGGCTAGTGGAGACGCCAGCTTGAGATTCACACGAGAAATAGTTTGTCGTCATCAATTTTTGAAGGCTGCTACTGGTTCACGCGTAGCATGTAATAAATAAAATGGAAGTACATTGTAATCTGTGTCATATAATATTATTAGAAGCCTCAAAAAACTCCATCGAGCCAATCTCAGGAAAATACAAAAAATACATTGTAGAATTACTTACGCCATGCACGGAGTTCACGGCGTAACATTTAAAAATAAAACTTGAACCTTGATTTTTCCCACTAATATAAATAATAAAGTGACAATTTTTATGAAATAGGAGTTATAAGCGTGCAGTTATTTTTATTCATCTAAAACAAATCATCGTTTCTTTTTAGTCTCCCTTTAACGAGCAGAAATGAATGTAGATAGCGCTGTCAGTGTATATTTGGGAGTTCATTGTTGCAATCCTGGATGCCCACTACTTATCACACACGTGTACGCGCAAAAAAAGGTAAGAGTGCATAATTGAAAACTTTGTTGAAGCGCACTGAAAAACGCATGGACAGAAGAGGCTGACAAGGACAGCACTTGCTCTCACAAGGGGTGAGTACGTCTGGGATTGCTTAAGATGAGAAATCGCAGAAGCCAAGCAAACTTTTTAATATGATTTTAAAGTGCTCTAGTGTAGCATTGCTGGCCTCTTAAGCAAGAACATCAAGTTTTTATTGCAAAACAAGTGATATGGATAATGATTTGAGTTTGAGATGATGACTTTGAATTTCAGAGCTGCGCGAGTTTCTTCGTTGTCATCCTCGTTCTTGGCGTCTCTCACAATCATATGGTGGTTTTGGGACAATAAACCCCAGATATCAATCATTCTCGTTCTTTGAGGTGTGAAATACGAAATTAGGATGAGCTCGTTTATAATGATGATAGTTTTTGTTAATAGTTCGTAGCTCCACTGTTAAAAAAAGGTGGCAAATCACCGTATATATAGCAATCGGTATGACACAAAAGTGAAACGTGTCTTCACAGATGTAGTTGAGTGTTTATTGTGCAATGTTTCAGCAACAGCAACCAATTGCAAAGTCACGTTAGGAACGGCAAGCAGCTGCAAACTTGCAGCACACATGAAATTAGCATACGCAGGATGTGCGCGGATTAGGAACTGCCACAATTCTTCCGGCGTCCTGTGTCAGCAGCGCGCTCCTTGCGTTAACGCGGCCATGGCAGCTTGCGTGGCAGCTTGTCCTCTACCGCATAACGAGTCTGGTAAGGCAAATTCTGAGGGCAGCTGTTAGGTGTTTTCATTTTGCAATATGTTAAAGCGCGGCCGCCGCGTGAAACGGGAGACCATGACTGAGTGCACGGGCGTGTTCCACAACAACCACCGCAGAGAGGCCTGCATTCGTACAGGACTTAATCAAAAGAGCGGAGCTTTTTAAGCTTTTCATTGCACCCGTTAATGCAAAAGTGAGTTATAATCATCGAGAACCGATACGCGCCCGCTCCATCTTTAGGATGAGAAGCATGAGCTTCACTTCCAAAGTCAGCTTTGTTGTACCCTCTCAAAATCTTGATTATTTCGGGCGTTTTAAGTACCTCAAGACAAGGTTTCAATTAAAGTAAGCGATGTTCCTGGAAGGCATGCCAGTGCACAAGCAAAATTAAGTGGGGCTGTCAAGGTAAGATCAAGTGTTTTTTTAATGACGGAGTTATTATGGTTGGTTTTTGGGAGAAAAAGGTGACTGCGTAGCTCTATGAAATATTGCGCAATAAATGAGATAGAGTTCAATGTAACAGGTGCATTTTCCCAAGAAAAAAAACTCTAGATACAAAATTGTCAGTGTAGTGTAACGAGAGAAAAACGCTAATAACTCTATGATGCAAGTCACACACAAACGTTGTGGTGAAGCTTGGGGGTCGATAACATCATCCAAAATAGTTTTTGATAGGCTAGTTCAATGACTGCCCATGTGATCTCCGAACTGGAATAGGTTTGAATGTAATCCTAATGCAGCCTTTTGTCTACCGCCAAAATCACGCCATCACCAGAACGTGTGACATAGTCACAGCGTTAAATAGAAAAATCACGTGAGTTAGTCGTGCTCTGTGATTTCGGGCTGAAGGCACGTTTCTGTCAACGCAATTATATCTGGTTTTAATGTGTCAATGGCTGATTCCACTGAATCCCGCTTATTTGTAATCCTTCTGATGTTAGTAAACAGACTGGATATATTGAGCAGTGCACGTTTACTGACCCTGTCGCGTTCCTATTTCAAGGAGCCAGCAGACTGCCGAGTATCAGAAGCGCACTGCAAAGCGTGCTTTTTATTGTGAGTCATAGCTCTTGGTGCTCGTAAAGACTCAAATTCTTTTACACATTGGCTTATCAGGTCTTAGACGTAGTGGTTTATTTTTTTTTTTGTCTTCCTGATACTACTCCCAGCTTATTGGAATGACCTGCTCTTGTACATCCACTTACTGCTACTGCGAAGAAACCATCGCGCACCTTCTTTGTGAGTGGACCGAATTCAATGGGTCAACACAAGAACTTACTGCAGCTCTCGATAGACTAGCTGATCGGCCTTTGTCGGAGCAAAACTATTTGGGTCATTGGCCGAGCCCATCGTGAGCCAACAAGGCTTTGAAAGCTTTGCTACGTTTTTTTGCGGACCGCTGTCTTCAGAGACAGACTTTAGTGTCTTATTCTCTTTGATGTTGCCTTTCCCCTGTCGCTATTTTTTTATTTTCTCTCTCTCTTTCTTTTTGCCACTTTTTTGTCTATCATCTTTTATTCCCCTCATCCCTTTTCCTAGCACAAGGTAGCCAGCCGGCCTAAGAAAGGGCTAACTTCTCTGTCCTTCCGCTTAATCTTTCCTGCTTCTTCATTCACGATTACCTTTTTTTGTAATGCGTTTCATATGCGCTTACGCCAGGCCGATTGCATGCAAACTCGAACAACTTTCGTCTCATTTCACTTCCAGCTATACATAAATGTTCGGTGGCACCTACATTTTTTTAGGATCGCTCTCGCAGAAAGCACTTTTTCTTCAGACTTCAAGCGCAAAAGTTTAAAAATTATAGGTTCGCACTTTGTTAGGATCAAGCGTGCTTGTTAGGATTGACTTTATTTTCGATTCAGATTGTCCCCATGAATCGTGAAGGTCTACAACACCTCAAAAAATTATGTTGTAGCACCGAAAACGGTCCTTCTGTCTTCTTAGGAACGATGCTATGTGCTCAAGAAGTTTGTAAAATAACCTCACTGACTCCTCCATGCTATCAATAGCCTGCTCCATGTGCTCGGTAGATTTAGCTTTTGCTTCATGTTCATCGAACTTCATCTGTATCGTTGTAACTTGGGCTTCGAATTTTCTGGCACATGTTCTTATTTCATCGACGTTAATAGCTAACGTGTTCTGAACCTTGGTGGACTGTGTTGACTCCTCATGAAGGTTGAACTTAATGGGGTAAAATAAAACTGTTATCTTTTCGGAAGGATTATCAGGCAATGAATCTATATCGAGCGAGGCGTAAGTACATCTTCCAGAGCCCAAATTACCATCAACATACCCTCAATAAAACAGCAGGAAAACCACCGAAAAATACTCCCACGCAATATCAGCGAGCACTTAAAGGCGAGGGAGCAGTAGATATCACCAGTTATCCCTTTTCTTTGCATACAAAGAAGATGGCTTAGATACAAAAGGCAGTACT